TAGCGAAAACGTGTGAACTAAATAACAGAATTAAATTGCAACGTTTGGTTAAATTCTATTTTTTCAACAGAGAAATGAGATTAGGTCAATTGATCACATGCTAATAATATGTTATTAAACAGATAGGCTTATCTTAAAAAATAATCTCTTGTATAACTATAACATTAAACAAAAAAACTCTTGACACACAAAAAGGATCCTTTAAAGCTAGAGACCCCATACTAAAGTAATGTATTATATAGCCCATCACCATTAATTTTAATTTTGCCACTTAAGCAGCAAATAAACTTTTATTCTGCCTTCCGCATAAATTATATAAAAATGCGAAAAGCACTTTTATTATGTGCGTTTTGACGAGAAAAAGAGTTTACATTTGCAATTTACTTATTTGCTTACATTACTGATTGCTGTTTTAATGAGCTAAATGAAAATGTCGTGGATGAGTCACATTAAACAATGCTGGACTATAGCCTATTTGGATCTGTTAGTTGTATAATAAACAAGTGTGTGAGATTTTTTCAATGGAAAACGTGTCCGGCACAGTTAATTGTAGCTAGTATCGACTCCATTCACCATTCATCGATTCCGCATGAACAGCATCTGGTTTGGCTGACTCACTTTGATTTCATTCACAAAATGTTTGTTTAAGGTTTGGTTTATAGTCTGAACTGTGGTTAAATTTACCACTGAAACCGAAGACTTGTAGTTCCGCCCTTTCCCAACAGATTGATATTGGTGGCACTCCTTATGTTTACTTGAACCCGCTAAAAAATATGTATTTCCCTTATCTCTCTTTACAAAGTTACACAAACACAAAAATTCAAAGAGAGATACCAATTGCAATTTTTAATCGGACACCTAAAGCTATCAAAATATAGTTTAAGACCTAACTGATGACCATAAATTGTTAGCACCTGTATTAGAAACTTGGCAAATAAGTTGAAATCCATTTCCGCTGACCGTCTGTCTACGTTTCTTCGTGCCTTTTAAGTGTACCTATACATATATGTAGGTACTTATATATGACTAATCCCATGAAGACCCCGCATGAAAATTACTTGAGTTTTGATGAAGGAAAATGAAGGAAATTGCGTTCAAGTGGATCGTGCAAACTCAAAGCTGTGGAATACATTTTTATACTACAGAAAAAGCTTTGTTGAACAAAAGTGCAAGAGAATCATCTCTTTCAGATATTTTTAAAAAGGAGAAGATTACAATTTGATTGCAAATTAAAAAAAGTATTTTCCAATTAGTATTATAAAAGACGGAAGTAGGAATACAAACGTTTAGTGTGGAAAGTGGTCAATAAAATATGAATTCTTACAGAAAAAGTTCTTATATACCAGCTTATTATTAAATATATTTATTCAGTACATCATCAGGAACTGGCGTTTATGCCTATAATCTTATGTGGGAGGAGTAAGGCAAACCCGAGATATATCCACTTCCCCCAATGGAATCCCCATACTGCGCACTTGATTAAAACTAAACAAAGATTGTCGGCTCCCGCTCCATAAACAATAAATATTTTATATAAGAGAGGCCTTCACTTGAGCTGTACTTTGGATAGTGAAATCAAATTCAAATATACTGAAACATCCCCAATAACCGCAACGCAAATGCTTCACATCCAGTTGGCAATTTAACGCCTTGCCCTGCTGATAAAACACATTTGAAATAAACAATTGAAAAAATAATAAACATTTTGAATGGCAAGAAATTTATTTGGTATGAAAACCAAATGTTCCGACTGTGGAACCTTAATCGAAGCTATAATTGTTCTTGTTTCGTTGTTACTTGTACTTTAATTTGGGTACAATGTGATGTTGGCACAATTAAATCTTTCAGTGAACAGCTTAAATGGAAACATTAGGCATACACTACGTTAAGAAATAAAAAAGTGATTATATTAGGATGACAGTATAACTTCCACTTTAAAAACAAGTGAGCAAACATGCACACATGACAAATTTATAAATATGTATAAAAGCGAAAATATTTGTATCCACGTCAGCCGCATTGACAGTAATTTTAGCTGTTTAGGCGTTTTCGTATTCGTTTCGCAGGTGAGCTCACAATTATCACCTCCACTTAAGTTGGCCAATTAGTAGGTGAAGCTCCGATTTCTAGCCCGAATTCGGAAAAAGCTAGAAGCTTCCTAGAGAAATTCAGAGAACACAGTTGTATTTCAATTGAAAATAAAGAGAACATTTGTATATTTTTTCTAGAGGAACGGAACGACACCCACACCTTGTAATGCAGACAGACAACCAAGAATTTTCCATAATCATCGCTACTGAAACTGCACTTGCAACAATACGGAGAAAGCAAAGCAATGTTGGATAATGCAACCCCAGAGAAAATAAAAAAGGTAGAGGGGCAGAAGAAAACTGTTGTAATCATAATAGAACTGACAACAGACAACGAAAAAACAGTCTGATGGGTTTTTCTTTGCCGTCTGTCACATAATTCTAGGACCAGAAATTACAGGGGGTTTCATCCCCAGCCACTCCTTCGCACTCCACCCAGCATTATCAATAAAGCTGAGTAATTATGGCGACAACAAAGTCAGGCTTTATAAGGGAATCTGAACAGACATGTACACATGTACATAAAGTACATATATGCATATGAGGGTGAGGAGCGCACCTCTTAGTGCTGTTTCAGCAATTCATTTTGCAATGGCTCGTGGGGTGTTTTTTGCTGTGCATTGCACTTTCAAGCTCAAGTCCTAAACAGGCGTCATCGTTCATCAAATCACGTATGATAATAATGATCAAGTTCCATTGTCAATGTCGCAGATACTAAGCTGCAAATCGCTTGGTTAAGGAAAATGTGAGAAAATAAAAGCTATTTATGTGGAAAAAACCGCAACCATCTAGATTTTACGAAATTGTTGTTTCTTAATAGAAAGTAAATATATTTAATTTATAACTTAACACTTTTGTAAGTAAAATTATAACCAAATCGTACTGTAAGATTGGCATAGTAATAATCAATAATTCTTCATATGTATTTCTGTAAATTTGTTTCCTATGTATAGCACTGGTAGAATTGAGCCTTCAAAAACTAGGGTTTTCAAGGGACTAGCAACATATGTTTATAATTTGCAAGGTTGACTATGTTGCTCATAGTCAAGGATTGATACGACAATCGCCATCGTAAGCAATTAAAAATACATACGTACAAAAAAATAAGGCTTAACAAGATCCCGGCATATATATGTGTTTAGGAATATTGTGAAATAAATTGTGTATACCGCAATGCGAAATCTCAGCATCTTCCTTGGGGGCTCTAGATTCGCAAGGCGGGAGCGGTGAAATATAATTATTGATTTTTATAGGGGAACCTCTTTAAGTCGAACCATTTAAAGATTTAAAACTCCATCATACAACTTTTTTATCTAGACAAGGTGGATATTTTAAGACACTTTTACAACAATCTGAAATATATTTTGTTAAATAGGGTTTCTAAGTTCTTTTTATAGATGCAAAACTGTATCTCATTCTGGAACTCATCAGGGAATAGTTGCAGCTGTGTACGTTAGTTGGGTTTTTAGTGTGTGTGTGTGTATGCTGGCAGTGTTTTCATTTGATCTGTGCATATTGTTGTTGTTACTCTAACAGCTGGAGCTTCCGCAGCAGTCTGGAAACTGGAAGGCCAAAGATGCGGGTTGGCGAGGGGAAGGGGTGGATTCATACGATGAAAGAGAATTTCGTCAATTTACTGCGATTGCTCTTCATGACAGATATAAAGATACGAAAAAGAAGACTGAGCAAAATCAAAAGCCAAAGAAAGGCCATAAAATTGTGCGAAAGAGAAACCAGAACAGGTTTAACTGTTCTTAGTGTGCGCGCAATAAAAGCGCTAATTGACACACACACAAGTGCAAAAGGGCCATAAACAAACAGTGGATGTGGGAGAGGGAGAAAGAGGAGACAAAGCTAACTGGAACTTTCGTAATTCCAGGGGAAAATGACACATTTAACACAAGACTTATTTTTAAACAAAGACTAAAGTCTTTTTTAATCGCCACGATTGCCACGATTGGGGTTAAACTCACCTTTACAAGTGTCTTGAAAAACTGGTTTTGTTCCCACTCAAAACAAACGCCGAAGAATGCACTCAAAATCAAAACTCACTTCGCATTTCACTAAATTTACACGTTCAAGAAATCAGACAATTCGTGGCCATGAATTTTGGACGTCAAACGCTTTTAAGGGGATTTGTATTTTTAAATGCTTACAGCACCATGCATATACACCTATAGATATGTATATCTGCGTATTGTTTGGCTTTCTCAACATTCACAGAAACTCGTTTTCGTTTCGCGACTCTCTTAATTTTGGCACACTATTCGCAGCTAAGCTTATTTAGCAATTTATATGTAGCCCCTTTTGAATAAAAACAATTATTTTTCGTGCACGACCAACCCGACAACAAAAACAACAACGACGACGCACAACAACGCAATTCTTTAACCCGTAATGCACTCCAATTATTTTCGTCGCTCAATTGGAGCTCGTTTCGTTTTTTGCAAGCACCGCAAATTCTATTTACTTTACTTGCGAACGCACACAACCGAACGCCTCGGGGCAGAGCAGGAATTTATTTAATTCATTTAAAATTGAGCAAAACGAACCCGTTACAAGCGTTGCTCTTCTGTTTTTGTTTGTGATGGAACAAGAGGAGGAGAAGCATCGATTCTGATGTCGATGATTTCGAAATAGCGGTGTTATCGATGCTTGGCATATGGGGTATCGATGTTTATCCATATGGGGAATTCCCTAAATGACAAGGTTGTTTATTTTTTTTAAATTTGGATTAGATTTTCATTTTAGTTTTAAACATAAAAAAAAAATAAATTCGGAAGATAAATGTACCTCATTTCCTTCATTGTGATTTGTTTTACGCACATGGATAAACAAAATTGAAATTCTTAGAATAATTTCTTTTTGGATTGCCAAAATAATTAACGATAAAGTACTAGTAGAGATCGCTACTTTTATACAAACATAATTTATTTATTGAGACCTTAGCCTGATCGGATACTCGTATTCTTATGTTTCCATATTTTACTTAAGCCGCTCTACAGTTATTTTAAATCTCCACTGTCATGGACACAATCAGACTGTGGCACAGTGGGCAGGTGCGATGCCTTGAGATCTCAGTGGGTGCAGCACAATGGTGGCAGGTGGTGCATATCCATATGTTGTTCGTGGGCTGGGTGATCGGTTTTCCGGATGAGATGCAGGCGGGAAAACGAGCATTACATTCTGGGCAGGAGGGGGAGCTAAAAAAAATGAAGTAAGTCATCAGTAAAATAGGTTTTCCGACCGATCATCCGCCACTCACCTGTCTGGCACTGGCACTCCGCATGAGTAGCAATCCACCCGCTCGCCAGCGATATCCTCCGGATCGTACTTGGCAAAGATCCCTGCGGCCAGCTCCTCATACCTCTGTAGAGTCGTCTCCGGCAGATGACCCAGTTGCTCCAGCTTCATGAAGGCCTGGGAGCAGGTGCCAAATGCCCTATCCGCACAGCTGGCCAAGGCCAATAGGCTGTATATGTGCTCCGGAGGCAGTACGTCCTCGTAATCCCGCAGTCTCACTGCTGTGATCACCGCACTGTGGATAATGCCAAAGCGTAGTTGCCTTTGGGCCAGAAGCATAAAGTGATAGGCTTCGGCACAGTGCCACAATTTTTCAATGGCAGCCGCATCCTCCAAGGAAATGGAGTCCAGCAGGGTGGTCCTGCCACTGGCGTAGTCAATCTCTGGAGTGGCCACCGCCTTGAGATGCTCCTCCGCCAGCAGAGCAGCCAGAACATACAGTTTCTTGATCCTCAACAGGGGAGCTCGTTTTTCCTGCTCCCGTTCAGCCATTTGGGAGAGCAGACTAGCTGCATCCAGGTGGCGGCCAGCGTTCCGCTGCATCTCAATGGCCTCCTTGAGGCGTCCCTCTTGCAGCAACTGGGCAGCATGCTTGGCTATTAGAGTTTGAACCTGGGGCAGCTGGAATCTCTGGGCCAGTTCCACAGCCTCGCCCCATTGCCGAAGATTCACGCAGGTGGAGACGGCGGCCTTCTGGTCACCAAAGCGTAGATGAGCTTGCACCGCCTCGGAGCACATGCCCACGGAGGCCAGCATGTCGGCCAGCTTCGGCAGCAGGGGACTCTTCTCCGGCAACCGTTCCACACACTTCTCCAGGTCGTCAAAAAGTTCTAAATGGTAAAGTGCCTCCATGTAGCCCTCCAGATAGTGAGACTTTTCGTAGTACTCCCTGGCGCTCTCCCAGGAGCGAAGATTGGCAAAGTGGTGACCAATCTCTCGCCAGGCAATCTCCATCTGTTGGTCCGACACGCCGGATCCTCCCATTCTGTACAGCTGGACCACCCGAAACCAATCGCAAAGGGTCATTCTCAACTCTATGGCCAGATCCCGACGATCTGCATCCAGGTAGAGCTTTTCCGCCTCCTCAAACTCTCCGTAGAAGGCTGAAATCTCTGCCCGTTGCAGATCACTTGAGTGAATGGTGCGTAGTCTCTTGACCAACTTAATGCCGGGATAGTGGGCACAACGCACAAAGGCATTCTCCGCCGTCTCCAGTTCGAGTTTCTTCAACGCAGACTCGGCCAACAGTCGCCACAGTCTCGGATGCGGATTATCCTCGATGAATTGCTTGGCATCCTCCAATCCCACATGTTCCAGCAGGTCATCGGTATCCCGCAGCGACTTCACCCTCAGCTGAATAAGATGCGACGAGTTCTGCAGCTCACCCACGCTAATAATGTCGTCCAGCAACACACTGGTGATCTCCAGGTCTTCAAAGGTGCATATGTAGCCAGAGCAGGAGACTGGCTCCTCAGGATCGTTGCCCCTGAAGATGTACATGCGCGTTTTCTCCATCAGAGCCAGGAGAAGTGGATTGTCCTTTGCCCAACTCACTGCCCACACATCCTTGCGCTCAACCCGACTGAAATTGAGTTGCGTTTCCCGGTTGTCGTCCAAGTCGAGGAGGGTCATCACACCCATGTGGTCGATGATGGCAGCGCGGCTAAATAAAGTCATTAAACATTAAACATTTATAGGAAAACAAGAAAGTCATGCTGATTAGGAATATAACAACTTTTAAGGGTCAGAAATGTTTCCTTAACGGCGTTTCAATCTTCTTACATTTATAATAATTTCTTTGATTTATAAGGGGTATAACAAGTAAGTAACTCACGTGGAATTGCAATTGATGGCCATCTTGTGGACCTTGGAGTTCATCAGGTGGCGGTTTCTCAGCGCCACATTAACAATGCTATACTCATTGATGGCTCCCGATTCCCTGGCAACCAGTAGCAGCTTTTCGGAGAGGGCCAGCGCACAGATGGGATCACTGATTCCACGCTGTGTGGAATGACCATCGCCACTGCTACTACTCAGCATCAGATCCTTGGCCATCTCCACTCCAGTGGGTGTGTCATCAATGTGGAAACGCTTCTCCTTGCGGGCCTTGACATTGTGCAAAGTGGAGGCACTCTAAAGGAAAATCAAAATTTGATAACCAGAGATTACATTAAGAAGTAAAAGAACCCACCTTGGGCGTGTGGTAATGCCAAATGAGGATCTCCTCCTGGGATGCTATAGCCACATAGCTTGAGTTGATGCCCACAAAGCAGGGTCTGATGTCGGTGTACTTTGCTGAAACCAAAAATATAGAAATTAAATTAATTTGAAGTAAATATAAGATTATATGCCAGCACACATTAAAATTAGCGAGAAAACCACCAGCTAGAACCAGTTGGGAATTATAAAAGGCTTCCATTACCAGCTTGAATCAGCTGGTAAATATCTTCCCTTTGCATATGCAGCAAACAAATTCATGCCTTTATATGCATTAACCAACTAGTACTAGGAATTGTTTAAATAAAAATTTGTATGAAATAATAATCTTATATCTATGCAGTACTCACAATCCACAGTGGTCCCAATGGAGTTGCACAGCAGTAATTGATAAACTCTATCATCCGCTGGGTTACTGCGATTCTCCAGGGTGCTCAGCGCAATCTCCTTGGTGTTGCTACTTACACACTCCACTCCCAAAACGCAGTGCTCACTACTGGAGGCCAAACACAAAGTGGGCTCCACTTCCTTGAGAAAACTCTGATTGGAGACCGTGTTCCAGAAGGTAATCACACTCATGGGCGAATCCCTCGAGACGCTGTTGCTATTTAAGAACACCACAGTCTTCTCGAAATAACACCAGATGTAATCCGGTCGGATATTGGCGAAATAGATGAACGAGTCCACGGCCATGGCAATACGCAGAGATTTCCCCTCCCAACTAAGTGAGGTGATGTCGGTGCCCGGAACCTTTAGAGTGCGAAAGATCCGACCCATTGGTGAGTAGAAGCACACCTGGTTGGAATCCCTTTGCAGGGGAGGTGTCACTGCGTCCAAGGTAGTTCCACAGATAGCCAGCACAGTGCCATCGTGGTTCCACTTCGCGTCCACATTGCGCATTCCAGTGTCAAAGATTGTGGGGGCTGCAAAACAAGTGGGTTAATTAAAAATACTTGGTATCTTTCCAACCTCCTACCATCATCATTTTCATTTCTCATGATCTGCACCCGTCCAATCTCATAGCAAATGGCCAAAACGGGTCGCTTTCGGCTCTGTGGAACTCTTCCACTGAACCAGCAGATGCTGGCTATGCGATGACCCCTGGAGGAGGATCCACCACTTATGTTCACGCATTGGATATGCAGCTTCATCTGGGGTAGAAATATTGAAACTTAGTATGGTTACAGAAGTTTTGTATGTTGAAGGTGCGATCGTCACGACGTTTTTAGACCCATCAAGAAGTGTTTTTGTCTGATTTACTCACAGCAAAGTTGCCTTGGTTATCATACAGATGACACTCTCCGTTGGCCAGAGCAAAGAGGATGAGTCGGTTGTCCGGACTCCACTGCACTCCGGTAAGATGAGTTCCCTTGAGCTCCTTGCCAAAGATGCGATTGCCATCCACAGAACCCACGATAATCGCTCCATCCTCGTAAACAATACAGATCCGAGATCCATCCGAGGTCCAGCTCATGCTGGCCACCGTGGACTTCTTCCTATCGTTGGTCATCTCCTCGTACCAGGATCCCTTGTACAGCATCCACACCATGATCACCCCATCCGTGTCCGAGGAGGTTAACTTTTGCTGGGCATCGTTCCAGGTGACCACCCGCACCGACTCTTTGTGCCCGTCGAGCGTTTGGTTCATGGACAGATTGGAGACGGCGGCCAGGCCACCTTTACTCTGGCCATTGGGGGCAGCTGGAAATCGATACAGAAATATTTTTTAAATGTTTCGGTTTTTTGATTTTCACTAACAGTTCGTAGTCCACAATCTTATTAACAAAGGTTTTTACATGTTATTTTGTTTAAATAAAAATAAAATATTTATTATGAGTCAACTTGTATATACATTCGGTAAAAAAAAGGTAGTATATCAAAAAAATAATGCAAACTGTTAGGCATGATATGTACGTGTTTAAACCTAGTTTATCCCCATTATAATGGGTTGCACTTACCCTGATCCAATTTCAGCACTTTAAGTAATCCATCCGTACCGGCGACTGCGATATAGCCCTCCTCTTTGTTCCAGGCAATGCAGTTGAGTTTAACATTATTGGGTATGGCTATCTGTGGGGGTCAACACTTTATAGCCAACATTTATCTACATTAACCGAAAAGCAATGCCTACCTTTTTGCTGAGATAAACAAACATCTTTGTGTTGCAGTTGCACTTGGGTTTCTTTTAAATTTTTCTGCTTTTGCTGTGGCAACAAAACTAAATGGTTTCCATGACGACTTGTTTTCCAGTTTAGTTTTGGGTTTTTTATTATGGCCACGCACTGCTCAGCTGGCCAAAAACACAAGCCTGTTTTGTGGCCATAAAGTGGTTTAATTGGTTTCTGTGGTAAATATTAGAGAGGTACCTGTTGCAACCTGTTGCTATCGAAGCACCTTTAGGTTATCGATGGCGGGTCATTTAAAATTCTAATGTATACAATTATTTTATTTTATTTTTATTTTAACACATGTCAGAACGAATTCTATATCCTACTTAATTTTGTCTAGTTGGTATATGTGGAAGGTTACAATTTAGTCAATAGTAAATAAATAAAAAGGTCATATATACATTTTTCTTATAACTACAAGGCTTCATTCCTGGCTTATTGTTTATGTACAATGTATAACAAAATGAAAAGTTCTTATCATTTCAAAGTAAATTAATCCCCTATAAATTAAAGATTGTAATTAATGTCAATCGTTTACTGATAGAACTTTAGAACCAGGGTTCTTTTCCGTAAGTAATACAAATAAAATAAATGAGAGTCAAACATGACAGCTAATCGATTAGACAAATGCCACAACAAAGTTGTTTAACCAACAGACAAACAAGTTAGTATAAAATCATAAAGATAACAAAGCAAGGGCAACCTTTGAAAGATTGAAATTAAATTTCTCTAATTAGTCACTTGTAAAAAGCATTTAAAGATATAAATATATTTAAGTTAAATTCAATTAAATCACGGGTCTCTTACATTAAGCTATTCGAACTCCTCTTTTCAGCAATTCGTGAGCCATTTTAGTGGCTATAAACATGTAGACAAGTAGAATAATGACGGACTCAAAATTGGAGCGATCCTCCGGTTCGAGGAACATGTTGACCCCACCGGTTAAGATATTGGCCACCAGGAAGAAGGTCAAACCATTTTGGTTCAAGGCCTGGTTGATGGTAAATGGAACAATGGACTTTTCTCTTCCCTTGACGGGAGTATCTCCTGTAAGAAGACCGTTTTCCTGCTCCTCTAATTGATTGCTTTCCCAGGGCATCACACTGTTTATGACAAAGTCTATGGCTCCAAAGCTGGCCCACAAGGTGGTGCTGCCAATGGCCAGCATCCAAATGACATAGCCAAAATTGCAGGTGACCCTCGAGATGCCAATGCCGTAAGTACAGATGATGAACAAGCTCCACAAGATCAGCACTAGGTAGAACAATCGCCGCAGCTTTCTGACCAATTCGGAATAGCTCAACAAAGTGGTGGCCACCATCCAGCGATTCACATATATGGATACTAAGTACAAGGCCACAAATCCTGGCAAGGAGACGAGACCCTCGCGATTGGCATCAAATAAGTTGGAGCGTTCCACATCCTCATCCATCACATAGTCGGAAATGCCCAGGACACTCAGGCCAAATTGGTGTACGAGCAAAATACCTGAAAGAGTATTTTGTGGATTAAAAAATTTAGGAAATTCCAATGATAAATAAGAAACTACCAAATCCCAAGGGCAGCAAATGCAGATCCTTGCGCGCCAGTAGACCAGCCAAAGCTCCCAAAAACTTGGTAAATCCCAGTGTGAAAAAGGCATTCAAATGCTGTCCATATTCATGGGCATCCTGACCATAGCCCAGCATCAAAATGGCCACGGTACGGGCCAGTCCCAAAAGTATCAAAGGCAAAGCGGAGTAAAGCACACTCCGGCGGAGATCGGACAAGTGTCGAGTCCTCCTGGACACCATGGCCATGGTGAAAACAAACAAGCCAATGCCCGTGTCCATTAACTTGGCGCCAAACTGCCGGCTTTTGCGATAAGGTCTATTGAAACTGCCAAAGTCGATGGCCAGAATGCAGATGGCGGTGATCAGGTGAGTCAGAGCACGCAGAACGGAGAAGGCCATGGGTCGATTGCCTCCCAAATCAAACTGGCTGCGAATTCTAGCTCGTTCCAGAGCCTTAGTCCTGCGCAGGAACCATAGAGTGACTAAAAACATCACAAGTCCTATGTGGTAACTGTAGTCCACGGCCACTGTGACGAGCAAAATGCAGGGCAGAATGACCAGAATGAACTCCACTGCATAGCAGAGATTGGGTGAGCCATTGAGCCTTAACTTTTGGGTCACCACTCGGGCCAAGAGGATGCACCAGAAGGTGGACAGGATCAGCACCAGCGACTCCCAGCTCTGGACCAGTGTGGTAAACCATAACGAATCGTATATTTCTGCTTGGTCAACCAATCCAAGGCGCTCCTCGAGACTTCTGTTGGCCGGAATCGGATCGAAATCGAAATCGGGAATTGGCGGATCCGCTGTCGCTCGACTGCCCATATCGACTGGAACACCACCCCTTGGACTCCCAAATGTGCTGATAAAACTAACACTTAATCTGCCAGCTGATAGTCGTGGCCACTTATCGGAAACCGAGAGATAGGCATAGTCAAAGCCGTTTTGTTCGTTTCGGGGGGCTCAATAAAAAAAAAGCACAGAACTCGAAATACACAACAATTCGTTAGACTTCAAACATAAGAATGTAGCTGATAGCATGTGAAGTATTTCACCTATGATTCAGGGCGAATTAAAAATCTTACGCGGATTGAAAATGACAAGGTAATATCAAGGATAGGCATTTTTGACAACATTTCATGATGGTGGCTTAGTTTCTCTCTGTGCACCTACGCACTATTTTTATCTATTTTTTGTTTACTTAATTTAACTTTTTTACACCTCGCCGTAATTGGCTACTGATAAATCCAAAACAAACTTTGCCTTTACAAACGCTAAGAAATTAGCTTTTCACTCCAGCGTGACGAATATGGGCAAAGTACGATTAAGACTAAAAGTATTTCATGCAAAATAGCTTTAGGGTTTCAAAGTTGGTCGCTAGCTTTAATGTATAACATTAAATGCCTTTCTTTTTTATACTATAAAAGCCAACGGATAACTTAAAAACTACTAGTTTGAATATTTCCAAAAACAACTTTAAAATAAATAAAACAAACATTCTATGCCTATTAAAAAAAAACCAAAAAAAGGTTTGTTTTTTATTGAAATTATATTTTTAATGGATATAGATAAGTACTTATTTTGTTATAAGAATTTAAAATTGAATTTGAATGCAGCGCCATTTGAAATTATCGATTGAACAAACTCGATTGTCTGGCAGCCCACTGCAATCAAATTCCACACATCTGGCAACGCTTGAGCAGTGGTATTTTTTAGTGCGTTAAATTGGAAAAAGAGGCTCGTCTTCGGTTGCAAAGTGATAAAACCGATGAAATAGGCCATAAAATGTGGTTTATTCTGCAAATAAAGTGTGCTGACATGCCGTCGGATATCTAGTTGTATCATTCCTAACCAGCTCAACTATAAAACAAGTGAGAGCAGTGCAAATGTGGGTGAGTTTCACACTCTGCCGGTACTCACGTGTTTCTTTTACTTCATGTGTCTTAATTAATCAATAAGTTGTTAATTAAAGATTATTAAATGTGTTAATTATATGGCTAGCTAATTTGTTAATTAAAGCCTTCATTTAGTGGGTATTATTAAAGTGTAGGTAGCTTGAGCTCCTATTACGTAGCATTGTTGTGCTTTTGCACGTTGTGACGTCATGGGGCGTTGGACCAATCGGAATGCAGCTTGTGAGGGGCTTGTCCTATTAGTGACGTAAGCAACAGCCCATGTCTAGTTGGAATATTGATTTCTGTTTTGTTTATGCTGAAAAACCACGTGAGTTTGCCGCTCTTCCCACCCATTACCACGTCCCTTCGATCGTTTCCCGATTTGTTGCTCATTTCGATAAATAAACTCATTCAAACGGCAACGTTCGACGCAGTGAGTTCGAGATACGGAAGCTAAAATCGCATTTTATTTTTTAAATATTGCCACTGGCAAATGCAATTTACGTAACTAATTGCCATCAAGTGCTAAAGAAAATTATAAATATCAACACGGCATAGCTAAATAACAGATGTGCCAGAGTATAAATAAGTGCACTGAAAAAAATATGATCAATTTGGACTACTTAGTTAGTTAGTTCAAATTAGTTCAAATTTTTCTGTCAGAAAATAAAACTTAAATTGTATTAGAAAGTGCTTCCTGTAAATGCTATACTAAAAGCAGTAATTAGGAACAATGATTTATAAAAGTTTTTATGCTATTTAAGATATAATATTAATCTCAGTGCTTAAAGTAAAATAATTTTTATTATCGTGGAGTTATTTTTGTTCTCATACATATACATCTTTTTGTATAGCTCAAAAACAAGAATATGTTACTGTTTTAAATATTTCACAATGAGTTTTTATCGTTCAATACTTAAATATAACAGTGTAATATGAAAAACTATTTTTTTTGCATGTAAAAGTTCTGTTGATTATTCTAACAACAACAGAGAAGTGTGCACATTATTATAGATGCAACTAGGTGATTAGACCACGCCTGGCGCTGAAAAGCTGGCTAATCGAGGGACCTTTGACCTGTCGTGATGAGGTATTTCATTACTCGTTCAAATAGGTCTATCTTGCCCCTTCTGTAGATTGTTATGTAACAATCGCACTACCCAACAATAAATTGCAACCCCAACAAAAACCTGCCTTATCAGCAGCAACAAATATTTCAGTAATCATTTTAAGTGAGAAATTTGGTCATACGATATGATATGGTTGCGATAAGCCTATATTTATAGTCCACAGGTCGTATGCGTAATTTAATATATGCATGTATTTGCAGAAGTTTAGTGAACCTTTGTACCCCTGATGTAATCATTAATTGCATTACTTGCACTCGAATTAAATATGTACATTAACAAAAAAGAACAAAGCAACATAAAGAAAAATGCAAATGACAAAATCGCACCCGCCCATTTGTCCAGCTCAAGTGTAATTCTGATATTGTGACTGAAATTACAGGGCAATAATAATACGATATTTTACGATGACTTTAATGGTTTCTACTAACATACACTGCATCATTGCGTATATAGCGATATATGTGTGTAAACAAAAATTGCACGTCAAGGAAATACAATTCATTATCTTACTGTACAATGGTCAATTCGATTTTAAAATACTCTATGGCTTAAAGATCGAAAAAAAATACTTTACTTTTAATAAAGATTTTTATGCCTTAAGTTTTTTATAGAGCGTTAGCTCTTTAGTACCGTATTTTTATTTTTCGCGTCTTTTTTTAAATTTTATCATTTTTCTTACGTACCCCAAACTCAACAATTAAATAGCCTACTTAAGGCCATCAAGTCGGGCCAAATTGCTTTCGTTTGTGGGCCAACACACATGCAAAATATACGCATATATTTTCACAGTGACATTTGGCTTTAATGAAGTCACTTTAGTTGCTCAAAATGATTTCATTAACTCTGTTTCGGTTGTCCCACTAGATCGCTGTTTATATAACGAACACACACTCCCCCTTTTCGCTTAAGGATGCAAATATTTAAATACAATCATTTGCATTTTGCGTTTATTTCGTTTTCTTGGCCTGCTCTTGAAGATGTCACACACATAACGTTTGTTTTATTTGTTTACGCCTCAATGGAATACTTTTAATATTTGTTGTATCTTTAAATAGCCAGGCCTATAAGTATGAGCTGAATGAACGCCCACACGTGAGATTGCGTATACGGATTGTCTTTGAAAAGTTGAAGAATTTATGTGTGGGATAAATTTCTGTGGAATAATTTCCGTTCTTGAAATTATACATTACTATGTGTACATAATTGTGGGGAAATGGGAAATAATGCATATGCTTACATGCAAATCGCAGCTACAATCCCTAATTGCATTCCGTTGTGGGGCTTAACTATTACCGTAAACCTACCGTGGGAAACCCCAGTTATTTATAGTGGATTAGGCTTTCATTTTGATTGATCATTACCTTTTTACATGCCAAGAGGCACTATTTACCTTTTACGATTATGGTATCGTTATCATTTCCGAATATTCTTGAGATTGGAACCAGACAATTTTGTAAATTTCTAATAATGATTGTTCTTTAATTAATACGCAAAATTAATAAAATTAAAATATTTAGAAAATAGTAAAATTTATTTTACTGTCATAATAATTTCAAATAAACCTTATTTTTACTTAACCACGTATAACACAAATAGACAGAATTTTTTTAGATATGTGTAAGTTATATGAAATTAGTTTAAATTATTTACAAAATTTTAAAATTATTAATAAATTGTTAGTTAAACATAAAAGTTGTTTAGAATTTAATTAAGAATTTAATTTTTTTTTGCTTGACAATCACTTGCGATACGATTGACCCACTGTACTGGGCTATATCCGCCTAAAGCGAATGCAAATGGGTGTTTTTAAATGCCAAGGCTGCTGGCGTCTGTCGCAACCAGTTGGCAGTTTATTGCACCGAAAAGCGTCTACGGCAGCACCACCCACCACTCGACCCCCTAATCCACCCCCAAATCCACCCAACGACCCAGACATCGGCATTCTTTTTGCCGGCTTGTCTTATCAGCTGGAATTGTTGCTGCTGCCCGTTTATTTTTGGTCTGGTCGATGGGTAGTCAGTCGGTAGTAAATTCGTAGAGTCGCCGATTTGCCTAGTCCGAATACCCACATACATCCAATAAATGGTCGAGCTGAAAGCTCTTTCTATGTATGGGTATTTTCACTGCGCTGTCGCGCCTTCGAATCGTTTGATTTTCAACTTTCAGATACATTTTGGCGCTCGCCGCGGTCGGTTGTGTTTTTATTGGTCGCGCTCTGTTCCTCTTTTTCGATCGACTACTCTCTCTTTCACTTTAAACTTTCCTCCGCGGCTCTCTTTTAAAATTTAAAAATATTTAAACAAGTGTTATCAGCAGTCATTAACAACAACAATCGAATATCAAAAGTGAGAAAACTACTATAAAATTAAAAAAAACACCATTAATTTTAGTTATCGAAGATAGTTGTTTGTAATCGCAGTTATCGAAGATTGTTACCTGTTATCGCAGGTTATTACTTGTAATCAAACATATCGTAAATTATCCCATGTAATTGGTGATATCGTAAATTATTACTTGAAATTCCTTTGTGTCTTTTGCGTTTTTATTGGAGTGTTCACAGCAAGTGGGTAGACAAATATTGCCCGATCAGCCCACTGAAAAAATGCTTCCCATATCTAATCTACTATTTCTGGTAACATATCAGTTTATTGATTGTGTATCGATGACTGCTTATCAGTAAACAGTGCCTAACGAAAGTACAGAGCCATAAAAAACAGACGAACATTAAACTATGTGACTTTCAAAAGTGTCGCCAACTAATTTAAACTGAATACCAGTTGAATCCGGAAACTGAGGAATCTTTGGAAAGTTTTCGAATGTAAATCCCAATCAGCTTACCGGTGAAATAAAATACGAAACATGTATATGTACAGTGGCAAATCACTCAGTGCACTCAATCATTAGGGCCTTATCTCTATTACGAACACTTGACCTTGGCGCCGGGATTGGGATGATGACAGTTTACCATAATTTATGTATACGAATTTCTGGGCTCCATATTCAGAGAGGCGGAGCAGCAAATCCGAGCGATAAGTTGTTGGTGTCAACAAGTGTTTCAGTGTTTCGGTGTGAGAGTGGGAAGAGGGCTCGACCATTAGATTCGTAATGGAAATCAAGCCCCCCAAACGAGCCAACTCGGGTACAAAGTCAAACAATGCCGAAACAAGTGCTCGAGTACATTGTACTTGTATGCATAGTATATATACACAAGTCCATTTCATATCATCATATCGCTCAGCAGGTCCACAATGTGTCCCCATAGAAGTGTGAATGGTAAATATAGAACACTGGTGTTAAAAATACTCGAGGGAGTGGGAGTGGCTGCTATATGGCAGATCTGAAACGATGGTTGCTTTTCACAGCCTTTCAACTTTATCTTCGATCGTTATCGTCAAATGAATTTATGGTTGCGGTGTTTGAAATATTGGTTGGACCTCCAACGGAAGTACCTTGAATATTGCGTTCGCTTATATTATCGCGTTTTGCGTCTGGGTTTCTAGTCTATAAATTAAGTCTATAAGTTAGTAAATTTTGTATTCATAAACTAAATCAATTGGTGTGACTTCAATTATTTTTTAAGCAACATATTTGAACGAAATGTAATTCCAATGTTGGTCACAAAGCCATTTAAATAATAACTGCAACACATAATTATGCAATAATTTCTCATATCTATAAATCAAATACTTAGTCATTAGTTTGATTTTAAACCCACCCTAAAAAAACAATGTGTATTATTTTCTTTAGATGTTTATTATTGTTAAATGTTTTATGTAAAGTACATTCCTTGTCATAAACGAAAATGATTAGACCAGTACATTTTATTTACTGAAATTACTTTCTGATATTCTGGAATGAATATTATATCAAGCTTTTCTTTTATAAGCAACATAAGTAAATGCAATGCAATTTTAATTTCAATTGTCACCAACCTATTTAAGTAATTATTATGCAATAATTTCCCAAGACTGTGAGTGGCTTATCTAATCTGTTTTTCTACCTTTCAGGCAGCATGACCGAGGGCAAGAACTTACCCCACTCGAGTGCGGATGTGCCGTTTCGCAGCAAGGAGCTGCGCAAGCAATCCCTCATCCAGCACACTGGCCTCGTCGGAGTCATCGATGAGGGCACCAAGACCATTGGGTTCTCGATCTACACCACACCGGATTTCAGGGAGATTGCCGCACACCGAGTGGAACTGAGTGTTATAACGCCCCAGGATGGCTGGTACGAGCAGGATCCGCTGGAGATGATGGCCTCCATTAACAAGTGTGCCGAGGAGGCCATCAAGCAGCTGCCCGAGGAGGGCTTCTCCGTCAGCGACATTGCCACCATTGGAATCACCAACCAGCGTGAGACGACGATCGTCTGGGATGCCATAACCGGCAAGCCACTGTACAATGCTCTCCTGTGGAAGGACATTCGCACCAGCACCACAGTGGAGCAGATTGTGGCCAAGGTGCAGGACCCGAATCACTTCCGCAGCAGCACTGGTTTGCCCATCTCCACGTACTTCTCGGCCCTGAAGATCCGCTGGCTCAGAGACAATGTGCCCGAAGTGCGACAGGCCATTCGGGAGAAGCGTTGCAAGGCGGGCACCGTCGACAGCTGGATCGTCTGGAATTTGACCAATGGTAAGTCATTTTAAAACAAAATTAAAACAAGGATTACTAGAGCCCTGCGTGAGTGGAGTCATAGGACCCTTTGACTCACATTCTTTAGAACTATTTTTTCAATTGCTGTTTATCTTGATAAGAAGTAGAAAATGCATCGTCTCCAATCTGGCTCCAAAACCCTTTCACAACAACTCTTCAATTGGCAGCTTTTCTGTTGTCTACTGTCTTTTCTTAAAGTCAAAGCACAAACCGCGAATTCTTTAGAATAAGAGGAGTCATAGGACCCTTGAGCTATTACTTAAAAAACATATATAGATTGAAAGGCTCATAAAAACAAAGGGAACTATGACCACAGTCATGCAGAGCTCTACTACTTATTTCTATTATAATGATTAATTAATAATTATAATTAATATCTTACCCTCCAGGCGCTCTCCACATTACGGACGTGACGAACGCCTCCCGCACTCTGCTCATGAATCTTGAAACGCAAAACTGGGACCCGGTGCTGCTCAAGACGTTTGGCATCAAGGAGCACATGCTGCCCACCATCCACAGCTGCTCGGAGGTGTTCGGAAAGGTCACCTCGGAAAGGAGTCCACTGCGTGGCATGACCTTGAGTGGAATAATGGGCAACCAGCAGGCCTCGTTACTGGGTCAGATGTGCGTGAAGCCAGGACAGACTAAGAACACGTACCGCTCCGGCTGTTTTCTGCTCTGCAATACGGGTGATAAGCCTGTCTTCTCGCGTCATGGACTGTTGACCACTGTGGCTTATAAGCTGGGACCGCAGGCACCGACGATATATGCCATCGAGGGAGCTGTTTCGGTAGCTGGACATGCTCTGTCCTGGCTGCAGACCAAAATGCGTATACTGCCAGACTCCAGGGATGCGGAGAAGTATGCGGAGATGGTGCCCACCTCGGGGGATGTGTACTTCGTGCCCGCTTTCACTGGATTGTATGCTCCCTATTGGCGGCAGAATGCTAGAGGCATCATTATTGGTTTAACGCAATTTACCAAGAAAAATCACATAGTGAGGGCTGCCCTGGAGAGCATCTGCTTCCAGACCCGCGATATCCTGGAGTGCATGCATCAGGAGTGTGGCTATGAGATCAACAAACTGCATGCCGATGGCAAGCTGACCACAAACAATCTGCTGATGCAACTCCAGGCGGACACCATTGGCCTGCCCGTCTTTCGATCCCAGCTGATGGACTCCACGGCGTTCGGCGCTGCCATGTGTGCCGCCCAGGCGGAGGGAGTGAACCTGTGCCAGTTCGAGCCCGAGAAGCGCTACTACGAGAACGTACACTACGACACCTTCCTGGCCACCACCACGGATGTGGAGCGCAAGGAGCGCTACGGCAAGTGGAAGCGGGCGGTGGAGCGCAGCCTGGGATGGGTCATCAAGCAGAAGAAGACGCGGGAGCACACGGAGGAGAACTACCGGATGCTGTCCTCGTTGCCGGCCAGTATCTTCCTCATCAGCAGCTTTGCCATGCTGGTGCATTCCCTGGCCGCCAGTGGCCATTGAGGATTTCTAATCGATTCTCGGTTGTGATAGTAATTACTTTTTCCCCGGATTTTGTACATAGTCCTCAAAGGACAAAAAATGGGTGGTTGTGCGTGCTTTAAACCCTGTAAATAGTTGCTTACGAAGAGCTGGCCAAGCTCCGATCTATTTTAAGTATCTTCTGACTATCCTATATCGTGTTTTCGTTGCATATTATGTACTTCTTAGCTTAAGTTTCAATAACGATGGCTGCAATATCAGCGGAATTGTATATAGCCAAATTGCAAACGACATTTCTAATTTAAGTAGGTTTCGTACTCGTATGTGTATCTGTATCTGTAGTGATTACGCCCCTTAAACAATAAACAAAAGTAATACGAAAACTTGGCGTCTTATTGCGAATTACCAGGAATTTCAGTGCAATATCTGCGCGATCACTGATTAAACTCTGCTTGTGGATAGTACAAAGATGAGGTAGGCCAAAGTCGAAAATGAAATGCTCTAGGGAAAATTAAAAGATTGGGGCTATCTGTAAAATGATCAAGTACAAAATTCTATGATGCTTAGTTTTAAAGAATTTAATTTTTTACTACGTTTAATCTTAAAATATATATATATATATATATATTATATTATAACCATTATTATATTAGGTCTCATTTTCTGCTACAGCTATTAGGTTTTAGGAATCATAAACTTTGTACCCCTACCTAAAGTATTCATATTTGCAATCTCACACAACGTGGGGTATGTTCTAATATCTGTTGCGTTATCAGGCAGCGGAAATGTCAGTATCAGTTCAAATATGACTAAAGTAATCGATTGATTAATAGCTGGAGGGTGTGTGCTTTTTATTGGAGGAGGAGGTATTTAATCTGTTTAAACACCTTAAGGTGTGTCCGGAATAAGGCCAGGAGATATCAAGTTACTTACATAGATGGGACCACCATGAACTAATTAAGTCGTATTTTAGTGCTGATTATGAAATACGATAGTTTATCTTCTTGATAGTGTCTAATAAAAAGCCTTTGAACTAAAATAAAAATTTTCAATTTTATAGATACAAATCAAATTAAAGGTTTTATGGGTATTAGGTAATTTAATGCGTCAAGATATGAACCTATAAAAACTTTTATTTGTCACATTGAGATAAAGCAAGAAATTTCGTTGGGAGATTTCTTTCTTTACAGCCAAATGTCGAAGCAAGTCAATAGGGAAATATACCTGTTATGGACACCTACAGAGCCGAACTAGTTTATGGGGTAAACTCGGGGATAACCTCAAAAAGGGTTAGAAAAGAGTGTTCATTCAACATAGGAACAGAAATTTAAAAAGTCACGCATCCTTGTAAATTCATTTCCACACCACCTTTTGAAACCAAGCTATGTAAGCAGTATTCACCGTACGTCTTTCAGCTGATATTTTATTTAAATTAGATTAGGAATATTTTTTGATTTGTAGGTGAACACTTTTCGTGAATAATGTTTAAACAATTAATAACCTTTTTCACACTATACGTATTTCGGATAGAATTAAATTTTGAGCATATAATCGATGAACCCATCTTTAACTTCATATATCTACTGGAATCAAAAGATTTCTATGCTTTTGAAATCTCAAATTTTAAGGATTCAATATATAAACACATAAGAATAATTTGTTTTATTTTTAAGCCAATCTAAGTTAACAAGTATCCACTGTACGCTTTTCAGCTGGGATCTCATTTAAATTGGATCTACCGATTACCCCAAGTAACACACTCACTCATAAATATGGGTTCTCACACAGATTCTGGCTTGCAGGTTGCCAGCAACAACAACAATAACAAGTGGTGGTGTTTCTGGTATTATTATTATTCAGGTAGTCGCTCAGCAGAGCAGGCAAAGCGAAAGGTAAGGTAACGAAAACAAATGCTCACCTTTGGCAACAACAAAGAAATTGATTTTCCCTGTTTTCGTCTTTCAAGATTTTTCTGAATCAGTGCAGCCAAAGCAAAGGCAAAAGCAATAGCAAAAGCAACAACTAGAACCGGAATCCGTTTGAAGTTGAAGCGCGCGCAACACACACGATCACTCACAGGTAGAAATTCCGGAGTGGAGTTGAAGTTGGAGCAGGTTCGAGTGTGTGGGTGTCTGTTGCAAGTTGCCTCGAACTCCTACACTGAGAAAAAACGAGGGCTTATTATTATTATTTGTTTTATTTGGAGTCAAATTTAAAGATTTTTCTACCGTGTTGTGAGACAAAGTAAGTAACATTAATTTTTAAAAACCATAATTTTTTTGTATCACCAAAATATTAACTAATAAAAAAAGTACCTTTGGCATTAATTGACGTATTTTTTAATTACTTCTAATTCGGTTGTATTAATTTGTAAAATCCAAGTTAGCTAGTTGTTAGTTTTATTTTTGTCTTACAGTATTTTTGCCAGTGTATGTTCGATCTGCGAAGTTCGATCAGATCCGAGTGCGATCGAAACCAGAACGGTCGCTCAGTTGCGTTTGAGTTGCGAGCACGGTTTGTCGCTTGATCTCCACTCTCAGTGAATCTCTGACTCCACGGCGGCGTCTTTTGTTTTTCTCTGTGTGTGTAGTGTAGTGTAGTGTCTTGTTTATGTTAATCCGATATTTATATATACAGGCGAAATATTGCAAATTTAGCAATAAATTCGCCCAATTTATCGGATTTCGGTTTTAGAAGCGTGAGACCAGCAAGCAGAAGGCAGTGGTAAAATAAAAATGAGTGTGCAGCATAAGTGATCGCTTCGAAGTGGATGAAGTTAAAGGGTCAAACCGGTTTTCGGACAACAGCAACATGGAGTTGCCACCAACAGCAGCAGCAGCAGCAACAACAACAAATGTCTCGGCATCCTTGCAACGTGTCGCCTTGGAATCCGGTCTTGGTCGGGAACGGGAACGGGAACAGGAACTGGGAGCAGCTGGTCCGCCTGGCCAAATGATGGCTCATCACTATCATTATATCCAGTATCCGGCGCAGCAGCAACAGCAGTTGCCTCAACCACAACTGCCCTGCCAATGTCCCTGCTCCTGTGGCCGGGCACCACCTCCTCCGCCCTCCAATCCCGCCCAGAATGCCTCCATGGCCGTGGCTGTGTTGGTCCACCAACAAACCCCCAGTCAGCAGGATCCGGCCAGGAGTTCCCCCATCAAAACGCAGTCCGCCCAATCCCTGCTCAATCATTCCTATCAGGCGCTCCACGAGGAGCATCACCAGCAGGAGCAGCTCCAGATGGACTCCTCCGTCGGAGCTGGGAGCTGTGATTGCGACCTGGAATGCACCTGCCCAGCCACTGGAGGCAACTCCTCCTTGGCCCAGCACAAGAGAAGTCTGCTGGCGGACGCCATGCTGGGTGCGGATGAGATCACGGTCAGTGAGTCCGACAACAACAGCACCATGATCAAGAAGAAGAAACCGCGATCTGGCGGAGGAGCGGGTCAGCTTCCGCCCAAGTCCCAGCCCACGGGTGATAGTTGCAACGATATATACCACGACACTGAGCTGGATGGCGGAGGAGGCGGTGCAGTGACAGCCTCTCCTGGTTCGGGCATCAAGTCCCAGATCTTGGACGATAATCGCCCACCGCTGCCGCCACGCCCACCGCCCAGGCCACGGAGCAATGCAAATGGTTCCATAGGTGAGTGATCTTAACTTGCTTCCATAAGGGGGAATTTAAAAACTCGTTTTGTAACCCCTGTATTATAAATTATCTGTAGATGCTGTAAAATGCCTTCCTTAAATGATGATCTTTTAGATTCTTTAATTGCTTCTTTTATACATTTATTACAAAAGAAAGACTCTTAAATAGCTAAATAAAAGCAAATGAAAACTTTGGAATTTATTTTAGTATTGCAACATATAATAAAATACTCTAAAATTCCATTTTTAATTAACTTCAAAACAAAATTCTTATTTTATGCTCTTTATTTCATTAAACTTTAATAATTAAAGTGCTTTAATAGTATTTGACAAAATTCCAATATAAATGCATTTTTTCCACTGAAGTCTTGGTTAATATCAACGACAAGAAATTTATTTCTAAAGTATTCTTCATGATAATTTCCTTGGAATCCATCAAAACATGTGTAAGAAAAAACTTACAAATTTTGTGATTGCAAAAATCAACATGGTGCTTGTGATGTAATCAAATTTGATTAATGAAGCGACTTAATTTAAATAAAAAAAATGTTTAAATGGGTCTGTAAGGGTATTGTTATATTCACTTATGATTTGTGTACTGATTTTGCGTCAGTGCTGTTGCTGAGGCTTCTTTACTGCGTGAATCACCGCTCAGTCGCTGGGTCACAGATTTCGTGTCACTGATTTGCCGCCCGTTGCGAAGGCAGCTTCCGCTTGGTTCCGTGGTTCCATAGCTTCCTCATCCGCTTCCTCATCATCCACATCCTGCGCCTGCGCCGAAGGACACTGCTCTCTCTCTCACTCTCTCTTTATCCCTTTGAAGCACTCTCTATATTTCCTGGAGCTGGTGCAAAATATTTGCTCGGGGGGTTGGCGCTATGGCTAGTGTCAGTCAGGATTTCAGTTGACACCGTTCCTGTAATTGCAACGCACACTCCCAGCTTGGTTAGCTCTATCCGCCACCCGGAGCACCCCCACTCCAGTCTCCTTGTTCCGCGCAGCTGCCACTGGAGGCAACTCATCCTCATCAGCTTCTCAACTCAGCTTCCAAATGGCTGTGTAGATATTTTTCTGTTTCGCACTGCGGAGAACAAAAAAAAAAACAGAAAAAAAAGAAAGAGTGCAAAAATCGGGGAAAAACGTGTTCCGGAATTTCCAGCGCCAAGATGTGTTCTTAGGCCATAAATGACACTCTTTAAATTGCCTTAAGGAATCCACGTATAACCAAGTCAAAATGCACGGCTATCCGGTGATGCAGTTCGTCCAGTACAGCATGCCTCCGCCCTGCTCCTGGGTGCCAGCTCCTCCGCCTTCCTCCGGCCAAGTGGATGCCCATCATCGCGGCTCTGGTTGGGATTCGATTTTCTTTTTTTCATTCCGATTATCTTTATTAAATTAAATTTTCTCCTTTAATTTACAGTACATCGCCATGGAGCTGGGATCAAGAAGTATGTGGTGTGGTGTCTCATCTGCGGCGGTTTCAGTTGCCTGCTGGGCGTACTCTTCCTGGGCGTCTACTTCCTGCTCCATTCGTACACCATCACGGTGGGTAACTTTGAGACGGTGCCCACCTTTGTGCCCGCCACTTTGCTCATCCTCACGGGCATCTGCATCATGAGTTTGGCCAGGCGCAGGAATCGCTATAGTTATTTGGTAAGGATAAAACTACACTCAGAGAACAAAATGCCCAACTTAAGTAAAATATATATTAATTTTATATTTAAAGATTTTAAAATATTTCAAATAGATCCTAACTGTTTTTAATTCTCTTTCTCTTTCTAATTTCTCTTTGTAAAATTCCCCCTGTAAACCTTTATTAATCTTTTGCAAATCCCCTCCAGATTAAGTTATCTGGAGCTTGTGGCCTGGTTTCCGCCTTAACCTGCGCTTTGGTCACCGTGACCACCACTGTGCTGCACATGAGTCGTCTGCAGGCGCTGAGGGAATGCGAATATGCCCAGAAGACGAGGACCTGCACCTGTTACTCAGACCTCATTGAATCCCAGGTGGATCGGGTGGACAAGGGTGAGTTGTTACTACGATGCAGTAAGCTAAGCTTCCTGGCTAATTTCAATGCTTTTCAGAAGGAGTGCGCCTGGTGTTCGACTCCCTTTCGGATTGCGGCGTGGTCCATGGCTCCTTGTACTCCTGTTTGAGGGCCATCTTTGGCCTGTCCGTGGCCGGAGTACTCATTGCGGTCTTCAGCTGCATGTTGGTGTACCAACTTTTGAGTCACGAAAGGAAGAAAATGTACTGGGAGCAGCTGGAGTTGCGTTGCAGATCTCTGTACGCCAGTCAGGCTCCACCTCCTGCTATGGGTCCTGGCCGGATGTTGAACTGTAGATGCTGCGAGCAGTGCCACGCCCATAGGCAGTTGACGCTGCCGCTGCAGGCTACCGCCTATCCGTGGGATGAGGCCACAGTGGCCGCCGCCGCAGCAGCAGCCGGTGCCGGAGGAGGAGGAGGAGTTGGAGGCGGCGGAGGAGAGCAGCGATTCTGGACTGCCCAGCCGCCGGGTAACTTCTACTCGCCGAATCCCGGCGGAGGCGAGGATGCAGTGGGTGGCTGCCGGAGTGGCGAACGCGGAGCAGGTCGCTCCAACAGCGGCTGGAGCTGGCCACGAATGCCCTGGCAGCGAACCACTCCGGACACGGGGCGCAGGTTTCGCCAGGCAGCCGCCAGTCCTGACTCCCAGTACGGGTTCAGTTCATCGACGGCCATGCAGGGCAACCATGATGGCAACCAGATGCTGATCGAGGAGCCCGTGGTGGCCGCCGCCTACGGTGGCATGCCCCCGCCAAATGCCCTGCCCTACGGAGTTTGGGGTCCTCCACCGCCGTACAGTGATCCCAATAGTCCGGCTCGTCGTGGCTACTACCAGTATCTGCAGCCCACAGCCTGTCTGGTGGGGAACCCTGGAACAGTGGCCGTCACCCTCACCCAGGAGCAACTGCATCCCAACCTGCAGCATCAGCAGCAACAGCAGCAGCAGCAATTGCAGCAACAGTTGCAGCTGCAACGCCTGCAAGTGCAATCTGGAACTCTGGAGCGAATGGATGGCCTCAGCAGTGCTGGCAATGTGAGCACCCTGGTGGCGGCCACACGCTCCTCCGCCGCCTACAAGTCCAAGGCGGAGTACGAGAACACGCCATCGGACAGCGATGGCGGTAATCCCAGGGAGCGAGAACGCTGCTCCAATACGCTGCCCACAAGGAAGCTCAAGAAGCGCCTGGAGGCGGGCACTGGAGCCAAGAGCATTGGCCCACAGAGTAATCCCGGCCAGCAATCGCGACCCAATGTCCAACAGCTGTTTGCCAAGCAGGCAGAGCAGGTTACGCAGCAGACAAATCCTGGACAGCAGGCACAACCTCAAACGGCGGGAGTGGAGAATAGTGGGTATCAGGACTCCAATGGAGCCATAGCCAAGGATCAGGCAGTGGGCACAGATCCCGCCGAGTCCGAGGTGTACTTTGCCGACGTGAGCAGCTGCTGCAACATGTCCGTGAAGAACGACAGCTACTATGACAATGCCCAGCGGCACCAAGGGCACCATCATCACCAGGCACAGGCACCGGGACACCATCATCAGCATCAGCACAGTAACTGCAGCCACAGCAGCGGGCAGAGCAATGAGGACTACCTGGCCCAGCGGTTTGGTCGTGGCAGGGAGCACTCCGTGAGGAGTAGACTGCCCATTCCGCAGACCAGGCGGGAGGATGACTATGAGACCTCCAACCTGAACATGCCCACGCTGAAGGAGCAGCAGCAGCAGCACCAGCAGCTGCAGAAGGAGATCTCGCGCCAGAGCATGTGCTCCGTGGAGTCGGAGGCCAAGACGGAGTTCACCGATCTCTCGCCCTCGACGCCCTGCTCCGGTAATCTTCCCCTGCCGCTGCCGCTGCCACCGCCGCCGGCGAACTTTGCCAGTGATCCTACTCCTGCTCCGACGACGACAATAACTGGAGGTCAGCAGTCGTCGCCCAGCTTTGTGGCCTCGTTTCCCTACTCCTCGGAATCGCAATGCCTGGAGGCACATCGTCGTTCCACCAAGAACATCCACGAGCTGCTGATTGCATCGACTGGCGGCGGCGATTCGCACTACGAGGTGATCAACGACCGGGGTGTCAATCCCTACCAGCTGCAGCGATCGCAGCAGCAGGCCAAGCACAAGGCCAAGTCGAAGACGCGATCGCGGGAGCAGCTGGACATCTATGGCAGCGGAACCGAGCGCTCCGACTGGTCCTCCTCGGATGGAGGTCGCTTGTGAGACACCGACGACCAGGAGGTATTCGTCTAGCAGCGGTTTCACCTTCATTATATTCTCTAAGGATCAGTGATGGGGGGTAAAGGGGAATCAAATGATGATGCCAAGTACTGAATTTAACGTCTATTTCTCAGTCTTCTTATATGGCATATGGTATAAGTATCATATGGTATAAGTACCATATGGTATAAATTTCATATAATACGAGCTTCATGTTATATATATGGTGTATATACATTGTGATACTGATTATATATGTTAGCACCAAATAATATTTATTTCATATTATACTTACACCATATGATATGGTAGCATATGGTATAAAAACCAAACGGCATAAATATTATATGGTATAAATATCAAGTTGTATATATATTATATGGTATAAGTATCATATGGCTAAATATCATATGGTATAGGTATCATATGGAATAAGCTCTAAATTCAAAATGTATTCCTCAGTTTTCTTAATAATCATATGGATTAAAGTATCATTTAATTATTTGGGTATATAAACCATAGCCCAGATACTTTCCATTTGAAAGCCCGAAGATGAAATATTCAAAAATACCAAAACAAAATCTATTCCTCAATCTTCTTATCCATCATAAGGTATAAGATTCAATCATTTAATTAGGTATATACCCTATATACCTCCCATCACTGCCGATAGAGCCACCACCTTTCGTTAAGAATCGTCGCATTTGTAATGTTTGCCATCCAAAAAGGGAACTCTATTCTTTTAAAAAATATCCTCTTTCTCTCCCAAAACTATCGAAGGTCCCAAGGGGTCCCCAAACACTTTGCTTTAACTATTTTACGCGATATCCTTTGCATAGTTTACATAGAACACATATGTATATTGTATTACTTAACACATATGGTAGCATTGAATTGAATGTTGACAAATTGTAGCAATGATAATCTATGGATATTATATATACAAATTATGTTATATTTACCTGCGTATTTACATAGTTGTGTATACAGTATACACACACCCATATACACATACAAATATATGACTAGTTAGTTAAATGTTAGAGCGCCAGTTAAATTTATTAAAGAAGTACACCAAGTATAACCAAAACATTTTAACAAAAACAAAAAAACAATGGATTTTTAATGGGCGGTTAAAAATTTTAGTGGGTTGAAATCTAATTAATTTTCTAAATGCTAAGAATTCCAAAACGGTTTCAGAATTGTGTTAAATATAAAAACACTTTAAAAGTTTAGTTTTTACTACCAATAATCCATTTCTTGATGGTATATAATTCACGAAATTACAGTATGGACTTTAAAACTATTTTTTATTTTTAATACCATCAAAATACCTAAACTTAACTTAAGACATTTAAGACATAATGGATTTTGGTGGGACGTTAATATTTGAAGGGGTAATAAAAATAGGTAAATGAATATTCATTTCAAATTATAATGGATGGATTTTTCTCTTTTTATAGTAAAGAATAAATAACACCAAAACGGTTCCAGAATTGTGTTTATATAAAATAACTAAAAAGTTTCCAGCACTGATAAACCCCTTGAAAATTGTCTTAAATTCACAACGATAAAGAAACAACATGTTTTTACCTTAGAAATTACAATTTGGACTTTAATGACTACATAAACAAGGTGATGTGTTGCTTAGCCTATGGCCACCGGATGGACCCAATCCCAATCCCGATCCCGATTCCTCACTGGGTGATCCGGTGCAGCAGCATGAAGATGGCGGTGGAAACCAGACCCAAACTGACCACAGAAGCTGCGGCATTCTTTCGATCCGCAATGCTGCCGTGCGGGATCTCGTTCTCGGAGTCATCTGGCTGCGGTTCCGGAACAGCCAGCTCATCCGCGGCCAGAACGGTGGCCTCATTGATGGTCCTTAGCAAGGGATAATTCTGGTTAGCTCTACGCGGCGCTGCAGTCACTTTACGGAAATCGTCGTAGGTATCCTCATCTAGCTTGCAGTTGCCCAGGAAATCATCCGTGTCCACGGACCACACCATAACACCCGCCAGTCGTTTGGACATGGCAAACAGCACTTTGTTGGCAATGGAACGCGAGCTGTCGTAGGTCACCACATTCACCTCCTGGGTGAAGATGTTCCGCTCCGATTTGGCCAGCACCTGGCTAGTTTTTGGATCCCACTGGCGAGTCCATCCGGATGTTTGGTTGCTCAGCGTCTTACAAATCTCGTTGTAGCCCAGAAACCCGTCCTCGCGCGTATAAGGACCCTTGAAGCCAACTCCATCGCTGTTGTCGTTCAGATTGCCCTCGGCCACCGTCTTGAAGGTGCGGCCGTAGAAGGGTAGACCCATCACCAGTTTCTCGGGCGGAGCACCCAGTTTCAACAGGTAGTCAATGGAGAATTGCTGTAAAACCAAAAATTTTAATGATAGATTTTCAAACTAAGAACAAGCTCTGGATACCGGAGATTAACAGGGTTAAGGATTTTTGATGATGCAAAGGATATTTAGGACACATTTATATTTATTTTATTATGGTCATGTTTTGCAGTATAAAATCTAAATAAACTCCACATTGAGAATTAAACAACCATCTTAACATTCCCATGCCTTACTGACTTAAGTATAAAGCAAATGCTCTTAACATTATATGAAAAACTTCTCAAACTAAAGAATCTTATCTGAAATTTGTTCTAAAAAGGTTTTGTGATCTTTTGGATTCCTATAATGCAATTATATATGAAGTATTTTCTACTACGAGTTTGTTAAAAAGCACAACATTTTTATAGGATTATAAACAAAGAATATTGATTCAAAGCAAGTGTTTAAATTATGGAAAATATCAAAGATTCCGGGAATTGTTTTTTCTACAAGAAACTTCCACTCACCACACTGAGCGGATCGTCGGCGGCCGCTGAGAGCGGGGCGTTGTAGCCCACCCTCTGGTCCCAGCTGCCGTGGTAGTCGTAGCACATGATGTGCAGGTAGTCCAGGTAGCGGGAGATCTGCCGCACGTCGTAGGCCTCGTCGATGACCTTCTTAGCCGCCCCGATTGCCGAGGTTAGGAGCAGGCCATGCTCGTCGAACTCCTCGCGCAGCTCCTTGGTCAGCAGGACGAAGTTCTCGCGATCGGCGGGCTTTCCCTTCCGCTGCGTCGGGTACTCCCAGTCCAGATCGAGGCCATCGAAGCCGTACTTGCGTACAAAACTGGACACCTGCTTGACGAATCTGCCGCGCAGCAGGCTGTTGGCCACCAGGATGGAGTAGTTGGCCGAGCCCTCGTTCCAACCGCCGATGGCCAGGCTGACCTTCAGATGCGGATGACTGCGCTTCAGGCCGGTCAGCTTTTCGTAGCCGCCCTTGCCGTACTCCTCCTTAAGGTCCTGCCACGGATCTGCACAGAAAACAAAATTATAGAGTACTATTTATAGTGAAATTATAAGTATTTCAAATTATGCCAAACATGATCTTCGATCTTGTTTTTTTTATTTCTTTTATTTCTTAATTAATCAAATCCTGGTCCATTCTGATCATCGATCTTAGTTTCCTCAATTATGTTTCAACTAATGTTGTAACACAAATAAACCTAAATTTTTTTTTTTTTATAAAGTATAATATCAAATGATTAACAAAATTATTATTACCTTATAATAACTTAACAAACTGATTTCTTGATTATTTACTTTAAAAAGTAAAATGTAATGTTAATTGGTTAATACTAGCAATTATTGTATTTTTTTTCCGTGTAAAAAAAGCTGAAACCCTTCAAATTTGCATATGGTCATAAATCGAACGCGGAAACTCACCCAAGGACTTGATGGCTGCCTGGGTGAGGTCCAGACCGGCGAATGCGTACACCACATGGGTGCACAGGTTGGGATCGAAGTTGTCGATGGCATAGGCGCCCTGCTCCGGACGGTAAACAGCCCATGTGGAAATGTAGCAAACCACCACCTTATCATGGGAGGGTCCTGCAAATAAACAAAGTAAATTTATAATTATGTATGGTTAGCAACCCCTTTGCGGGTAACACAACGGCAAAGGACTCACCTGTCCTAGCGGCCACTGAAGCCCATAAAGTGCCCGAAATGGAGGCCAGTAGGAGGAGCAGCCACAGCTGCGGTGATTCCCCCTTATTCAGCGTCATCTGCGGCTTGGTTTTCCTTTTTTCCTGGAGAAAGAAGATCTAGTTAAGTGCTCTGCGTGGCTGGCCACCAACTATGTTGTGACAACTCATAATTCCAATTCAACTCAATTGGCGCTTTAATTGAACGGGAAAAGTGAAAGGCAAACGAATTGACAGTTAGAAAAACCCTAGAGTCATTCGCATATATTCTCCTCTACATATTCTCAGAGATTAGCACAAAATCAATTCTTAGCTTTGTTTTTTATTTGCAAAGGCTATAAAAGATTAAGATTTATTTTGAACGAAATAAGTCGAAAGTCAAATAATATCACTACAACATTTTTTTAAAATATTTAAAAGTTAATAGCAGCTAAAGCTCAAAATAGTTTATTTTATCACCTTAAGCGTATTTTTTTACAGCTTGCTAAATTACTTAATGTTTACTCAATTGAATAATCAACAAACAACAAACCAAGATTGATTATCCATGGAAATATTTTTCTCTTTAGGTGTTTGTAACATTAAGTCGTTCGTATTTTATTGAAGAGCAGAAGCAATTTTTTAAAGTGCATTAAAGTTTATTCGAAAAATGAGTCACAACAATATGATTTTAAAATCTAAATCGGAAGGAATGTAATCAAAGACTTGCTTTGTTCTTTTCAGTCTGTATTTAATAATGGCAGTGGAAGTGGTAGCCGGGTACTGGCAATTCGAGTGGGTTGTGGAACCTGATTCTCAACTTTCGCCGGTGCGCCCTTAAAAAGCTGGTCAACAGCGAATCTTTGGTGCAACGAGCAGAACCGTGAATCATGCGATCCGCAGCGGGTTTTCGCAGTTCTAGACCGTTTTTATCTGTCTTTTTGTAATGGGAAAAAAAAACAAGTTAGCCTTGATATCTCAGAGGTCTGATAACAAAACGGCATGAATAGGCACTTAAAAGTTGGTTTTACTTTAAGAGCTGGAAAATAGGAACTGCGCGCTGAGAAAATGGGTGGAAAACAAAGCCAAAAGCGGTTTCACTTTCCGGCTTTTTTTCCACCAAACTTATGCATATTAATTTGTTTCTTTTTTTTTTTTATTACTTTTTGTGCGCAAACCGGAATCTGGCGTTCATCACGAGTTTAAGACCCCAATCGAAAAAAAAAACAGAAAAGTCGCGAAACATGTGAAGACGAAATACGAGTACGAATACGAATTTGAAATCGAGATGGAGGGGAAAAAAACCAGGCCATAAAGCCGAGAATAAACATCAAATGGGGTGGGAGATGAACTCCCATTTATTGGCACTTTGTAGGTTGCGCATGCGCAGCGGAGGAAATGGAGAGCCAATTAGCAGAAGCACACAAGAGTACAAAAACCGAGGAGAAACCCTACTCAAAACAAGTACATTCACTGTTTTTTTTTTAATAAGTATAAGCACAGCACAAAGGGAATATATGTGACTCCGTTAAACGTGTTCAGCGTATCGAATATTTACGGTTTAAGTATTCTGTACGATATATGCACTATTTTTTATTACCGAACTTGTCTCGTTATTCCGCTTTTTCGACTACCGCCGAGGAAAGGTCTCTTATGAGTGTGAAGTAAACTTGGCTCTTTCGCTTTGGTGTGGCCACAGCGAAAATTGATACATATATGTTTGGTTCCTGCTCTGTAGAGCCACTCAAGCCGAACCCGCCCGATCCACCAGCTACATATCACTCTCTCCCTCTACCAGCCAAAATTCCAAGACGTCGGGTGAGCACAAGTCGCGCTCAGCATAAAATTGAAGAGCATTAACTTCCCGAAGAGAGGGTTTTAAAAAGGTAAAGAGCCCGCTCGTCACATAGCACTCTCCCCACATCTCTCCCTGAAACTTCCAAGAGTCAAAATTCAGGACGTTGGGGGACCAAGAGAAAGCTTTAAAAGAGTTTATAAACATATGTTCAAGAGATCTTGCAGGTTCAGTAAAAACTTATGCACTTTTGTAGTACAATTTATGGGACAAGCCGATTTTAAATTTGAACTTTTTGGAATGAAAAGTTGAATTTTTAGTTTTTTTAAGGTTTTTAATTCAAATACTCGAAACATAAATATCTATAATAAATCGCGGCTTGTTTTCACATCATTTTTTTTATTTTACACTCGATCTATTTACTTAAACTAGGATGCTCTGAGCATGATTTCCAGTATGACTAAACACATTTTTAAGAGCTCAAACATTTTAGTTCCCCCTTGTCTGGCTCTGGAAAGTCCAACGTAATTTTAAAGACTTTCAAACGGACCAGCTAAAGCGCGCCAAGTTATCGGTCTATCGGTTAATGCTGCATCAATTGAGTGCCATCTCTGAGCTTTGGACGTAAACAACACAACTGCGTTTGTACGGAAAATCGGAGAAAAGTAGTCCGGGTCGGCACAAAACGCAGCCAGAGACAGAGAGATTTGAGCACGTGCTGCACCAGCAATGGACTTGGAGGAGGATTGTGTGGCCAGCGGGACCACATCTGCCTGCAAGCGACCGCGGAAGAACACGGATTCCCGGATTCCCGATGGCCAAATTGAAGAGACCACGGCGCAGGCTGGTGGGTAAGTGTGTGGTGGTGTCTCGAGGGTTAAGTAAGCTCTGCGGCTTGGCTAACCGATTGATTGATTTTTTTCCGGGTGCGCGGAATGCAGCGAGAAGAAAACTGTTGCCACAAGCCAATCCGTAATTAACAGCACCACAATCACAAGCAACAACAATAATGAAGAGGAAAAGGGCGACATGTTGGGCCAAGAACTTGCGCTGATGGAGCAGCAAAAGCAGGAGGAGATTGAGCAGCCTAAGGAGAAGGAACAGTTGGAGAAGGTGCAGTTGGATAAAGAGAAGACAGAGCCGAAAAATGAGCAGTCTGAGAAGAAGCTACCGGAAGAGGCACAACTAGTAGAAGACCAGGCTCACAAGGATCAGGAGCAGCTCGAGGACAAGTCAAATGAGGAGCAGGCTGGTCCCTCCTCTCTAGAGTGTCAATTACCGCCGCATGCCGCCAGTGCCGAGCTGGCCACCAACAAGCCAAAGACGGTCAATTCCATATTAACTATGGACAGTGATGACCAGAATCCATCCTCCGCAGCATTGCTCACCTCGCCCAGGTTCAACCTGCGGAATATACCACCCACACGCTCCTATCGCCGCATCAACATAGAGCTAACGGGCACGGTGACCGACTCGGACAGCACTGACTCCGTAGAAGTACCCGAGCAGCAGGAGGAGGACGAACAGGATGAGCAGGAGGACACAGAGGGCGCGGATGCAGACGTCGACACCGATGGGCAGGTGGCCCCAGCTGGACCGTCCGCCGACGAAAGTTCTTCCAACGACGAAATGGTACACCGCTATGACCTTTCTAGTGAAAATGACCTTACCACCGAGGTGAGCCAGTGTTTATAAGCTAACCAAATACCTATTAAGCCCACCTAAACCTTTCAGGATGAGATGGAGTTCAACGAGACGGAAGCCAATGCCGGCGATCGTGAGAAAGTCGACTTTGCCGTGGACAAGGAGATGGGCAAGCAAAAGCCTGCTTACACGTTCAACAGTTTGCAGGAGCTGATGCACCGGGAGCACAACATAATCAACCGGATTGGCTGGCGTGGCGGCCATACCTCTGCGCAGAGCTTTGGCCTGGGCTACTACGGTTCGCGACAGGTGGTGGAGCAGATGACGCTGCTAAGCTGCATGAACGGGCACAGTGGTTGCGTCAACTGCCTGAACTTCAATCGCGCCGGCGACTTGATTTGCTCCGGCTCGGATGACCTAAACATTGTCGTCTGGGACTGGGCGAACGAGAAGCCGCTGCACAGCTTTCACTCCGGCCACAGCATGAACATATTCCAGACCAAGTTCATCGACAGTGCCGGCTGCCTGGACATTGTGGCCGCCAGCCGGGATGGCCAGGTGCGCCGGGCCGTCGTCCCGCCGTCGGGTGGTGCCACCAAACCGATGCGGCTCTACACACACAGCGAATCGGTGCACAAGATCGTGCTGGTGCCGCACAGTCGCCACGAGCTGATGAGCGCCGGCGAGGATGCGGCCGTCAAGCACTTTGACTTGCGCACCAGCAATGCGGCCACCACACTGCTGCGCTGCGTCTACCACGATGCCAATGAGCGGAGTCGAGTGCGCCTCTTCAGCATCGCCCATCATCCGTTTGCGCCGGAGTTTTGCGTCAGCGGATCGGACGATACGCTGCGTGTCTATGACAAGCGCAAGCTGACCAAGCCCCTCCACGAGATGACCCCCACTGCTGTTGAGCAGCACAAGATCGCGCAAATTACCTGCGCCGTGTACAACCACAGCGGCAGCGAGATTTTGGCCTCGTTCAGCGATGCGGGAATTTATCTCTTTGATAGTCGCAACTACAAGGATGGCGAGTTTTTGCACTGCTACGAGGGTCACATGTAAGTCAAAATGCGTAATGCTTCTTTTAATTTCCTTGCCACTCACGTGTTTTTGTTTTTTTGTACCCACAGCAATAGTCGCACCATCAAGGGCGTGAACTTCTTTGGCCCCAAATCGGAGTACATTGTCAGCGGCAGCGACTGCGGCAACATCTTCTTCTGGGACAAGAACACGGAGGCAATCGTCAACTTCATGAAGGGCGACCACGCCGGAGTGGTCAACTGCCTGGAGCCGCATCCCTGGATGCCGGTGCTGGCCACCTCTGGCCTGGAGCATGACGTTAAGATCTGGACGCCAAATGGCCCTGATAAGGTAGGTTCAGTTAACTATGTAGTTATGATGCATAATGTTTTAAACAAGTTAGTTTGGGTGCTGGAAATATTATCTAAAGGTTATTTATTATTTATACTCCTACTAAATTTCGTTTTAAATGAAATTTCTTATTGATTTCTCATCGATTACTTCCGTAGAGCGGTCCCCACTCGGATTCCCTGAAGCAGACGCTGCAGCGCAACTTCAGTCGCAACATTGTGGACAGAGGTGACTTCGATATTAACCAATTCCAGTACTTCATCCGCGGCTTCCTGGAGGGTTCCCGCTCCCGCCTCGCTGGGAATCCCGGCAGCGCCGCGGAGTGGCGACGACGCGCCCGGAGCAACCGCTCCGACTCCAGCAGCAGCAGCAGCTCCGACGACACCAATGGCCCAGGAGTGCACTGCCGCACGCAGTAATCCTGATCCCGATCCTTATCCCGATCCTGCAACAGGATCAGAGGCGTGGATGTGCTTCGAAAGCCCTCCTCGACCAGCGTATAATTTCTGATATATATGATACATATGTTAGAAAGCGTTTCTGAAGCTGTGAATTTGTAATCGTATCACATAAGTGCGCATATTTTAATTAAAAACCGGGTTTAATAAATGCTCATTGAGAATGATTCACAGTTTTTACTATTTTGATACTTAGGAAAAAAACAGCGGACAAAGTACATTTCTGCACTTCTATTTAGATCTTAAGTGTATATATTTATTGATTATAATACTGAATGAGTAAATTGATTTTCGAATTTTCTATAAAGTTACTTAAAATTCAATAAGCTGAAAGTTCTAGAAGCTTTTGTATTTCCTGTCAAATCTTAGTTATGTACTTATATTTATTACAGAAACTTTGATATTTCTTTCCAAATTTAAGTTAATTTTTATTATTTGTAAGGCCATAATAAATTCGTAATAATTAATTTATGGTATAATAACACGACTTTAAATGTTTAAAATAGTTCTTAAATGTAAAATTACAAAGTTGTGTTCCTTAATCTCCAGGAAATCAATTATGAACTTCCGAAGATTTTGGATTTCTTGACAAGTCTTAGTTTAAATCATTTAGGTAACAATAATTACCTTGTTATAAAATAACAACTTAGCATGCTTACAAAAATTATTATAATTTGGAAACAATACAAAGTAGCATTTCGTAATCTCAGGGAATCAATATGAACAACCTTTAAGTTGTTAATATTTAATGAGTGAGGCCTTATCAATTCCAAACAATTACCTGGATATTAAATAGCACAACTTTGCTTGCTTAAAATATATTATTGTTGAGTATAAATATACAAAGTTGTGTTCCTTAATTTCCAGGAAATTATTATATACAATTTTTATAGATGATAACATACACACACGTTTTTAACAAATGTTTTAGAAAGTTTTAAAGTTTAATGGCTACCGGAGGAGTCGCTCAGTGGCTCAATCGCTGGTCTGGCAGATGAGGGCCACGCTGCGTTTGACCCAATGCGAAGCCTTGACATGGGTGTTCAGGAGCAGCGGCACCACATAGTTCGTGGAGTGACCGGTGGTGGACAGGGTGCCCTTCCGCTCCCCGGTTTTGTAGAGTGGACAGCGATAGCGTGATCCCTCGACCACATCCGCTATGCCCACTGGCCGGAAGTAGATCACGGGCATGGCATAGATGAGGATTTTGGGCAGCTGCTCCACCAGCGTGTTCTCCCGCCACTCCCAGCGTGCGCCCTCCAGGAACAGTCCGTTGCAGTACACCCCGTCATCCGGCGGCGTCGTCTTCGTCTCCACCTTGAGCACATCATAGTCAAATGTGAGCGTGTCGATGGGAATCTTGTACTTCCGGGCAAAGTTTTGCATGGCCCCGGTGAGGAAGGCCTGGGTGAAGAAGAATCCGGAGAGCCAGAAAGTGGGTGGCTTGCCATGATGGTGCCAGTCGTGCAGCCAATTGAGACGCTTGTATAAATCCTGGACATACGAGCCGAGGGGCTTCAGGCAGGGGTACGACTTGGACATCCATTTGGTGGGAATGCGATTGAACTTCATCGCCGTCATCACGTTCTCCAGATCAGGTGTCATCACGATAATGCCTTTGATACCCATGGCCAGATCCCGACAACTGCCACGTATCTCCTTCTGCAGCTTGAGGAAGCGCTCCATCTCCTGCACCACCACCGTGTTCATGGACTCGTTGTAGTCCACTGGATACTTCTCAGCCGCCGCCTCAATGTCCATGTCCGGCGGCATCTCGGTCTCGATCTGCTTGATCGTATTCAAGATGACCTGCTCCACACTCACTCCGGCTCCGGCGGATCCCGCCGCCTCACTGCCCAGCAACAGGATCATCGAATCGAGCAGCGTCTTGGTTGTCTGCAGGTCCCGAGTTATGCCAGAGTTGGCATGCAAACCATAGACTTCTGGCGGCGCCAGCGAAGGGAGATTCTCGTCCAGATACCGCAGGATCTCGCGGTGCTCCGTTTTCCGGGGCAGGATGTAGCGATCGTCGCTGGCGAACCTATAGCGATTGTCCGACACCGCCTGGGCATTGCAAAAGTCCGCCAGGATGGTTACAATCAACCGGCGATCCCAGTTATCCGTGACCCTTCCGCCGTAGTTGCACTCGCTGGTCAAGTACGAGATGGCGTCGTAGGGCACATGCTCATACTGGTTCAGCAGCATCTAAAAAAGGGAGCAGGATTAAAATAATAAATTTATTTGTATATTGAATACATCTCTAACATAACTTCACTGGTAAAAAGAAAAAAAACGTAGTTAATCTAAGTATTTTTCTACTGAGTTTAAATATAATTTGCTTTCATTTTCATCCATTGCGTTATGTTGATAATAATTAATATGAAATTATTAAATTTTTTCCAAGCTTCTCATTTGACTATTTTGGAAATGGATTTTAATGGATATTATTTATTATTTAAACATAAACTTAAATATAATGCATTTAAGACAAATACACATTTTAAGTTTCTTTAAATATGGAAATATAAAATTTCTTTTGGATTTTTCTTTAATTACATTCGGAATTGATTTTAATGTTATTTTAAATGTAATGTAATTTTCTTCCATTGCGGTTTTTGTTAAATTTTGTAGATTGCAGTTTTTAGAATTTATTAAATAAATATTTATATATATTTTAAATATGAATTTTATCAATTTACTATTCTTATCATAATAATCCAAACTTACGCTTAGTTGCAGCACCGATATTTGCAGATCGGACTCGTTAAATCCGTAGGCAATGTTCCAACCCAAAGGGCCATATTTCCGGCGCTCCTGGACAACGGCATGGAAGAAGCAAATCCCGTAGAGCAGCCGGGTGAAGGCGCGATCCTGCTTGGCACATCCCGTGTAGAACTCGTAGTCGTTAATGGGCTCCGAGTTATAGGAACGCATCAGGTTCTCCTTAAGTCCGGTCGGCGGTTCGTTGGTCATCTTGACTCCGTTCTGGAGGATGGTGACCGGAAATTGAGGCGTCGGATAAGCGGTTAGCCAGATTCGGAAGTTGGCTGAAGAAGAGGTATTTGAAATTTATTAATTTAAATCAAGTAAAATTATATGTATTATTTATAAACACTCGCTCTTATGTATATCATAATATATAAACAAATTATATATACAAAATTTTGTTTTTTTAATTTAATTTGTATTTTTTTTATCGGCATAAAATTAAAACTATCAATAATGTTTACTAGTGAGTAGTAGTAGTAGTCAAGCCTTGAAGTACCATTCAGTAGATAGGTTTGTTATTAGATTAAGATAGTTTTAAAAACAATCTATGTTTGCAAGATGTAATTTTTTATATTCTTTTGTTCTTTTGTAATAAAAGAGAATTGTTTTTCATTTCTTTACTAAAGTGTCGATTACACATTATGTTGATTGGAGCAAGGGCATTTTTGTACCCATGAACCCCATAAATGTAATATACTCACGCGTTGTGTTAAAGGTGTCCATATTCTCCCAGAGGTACTCCAAATGGGGCATCCAGGAGGCGGCCAGATGGCAATTCTGCAGGCACACCCAGTAGCCCATCTCCTGGGCGTTCTTGATCAACGCGGTGGCAATGGGACCTTGTCCCTGACCCAGTGAGATGCTCTGGAAGGTTTCCTCCTGGCCCATCTTCTCGGCGAAGGCCAGCAGGGAGCCCAGTGGATCCGCTCCGGGCGAGAGGATGAACAGGAGAGGCGTCAAGGCCGTGGAGTCGGCATACGACTTGGAGATGTCAAACTCCGGCGGAGTGACATACTGCTCGCCAATGCAGTCGGCAATGAAGAGTCGCACTGCCAGAAAAACGGAATCGGGTCGCAGTGCCTTCAACACAATGATCTTCTCGAAGGCAGTGGTCTTATCCTGCCACGGAGCTGGAAGTGGTTGCTTCTCCGGCGAAAAGTGATCGTAGATGGCCTGCCAGGCGCTCAGATGACTCTTAAAGTGCTCCACTATGCCTTTCAGCTCCTTGAGTTCCTCCAGCCGCAGAACATTCAACCACACAGTTTCTGTTACCCAACTGGGATCGGGATTGGGAGGTATATTGGTCGACTCCTTGGCATTGGTCACCAAATGGGCAAAGTGCCGCATCTCCACCTGACCAGTGCCCAGCAAAATCCGGGCAGTGAGGATGAAGGAGTAGAGTAGTTTGTCCTTCTCGAAAATGGAACGGCACACATTGTTGTACAGATTGCGGGTGAAGCCATCCACCAGGAACTTGATCCTACGCGGCAGATCCTTTGACTTATTGGCCGTTTCAATGGAGTACATGTACAGATTGATGTACCAGTTGAGGGAGAACTGGTACATGGGATCAATGTTGGGCAGATCCGTGATAGAGTAGTACAAGATGGAGGAGTGCACGGCCACCGGTTTGTAGTTTAACCGGAAGGCCTCGATCTTGGCCACTGTTTCCTTGGCCGCCTCCTGTTTCTCCACAATGTCCTTGGACAGGCCTTTGGAATCAGCTAGGATTTGAATGGCTGCCTCGTTCTCCAGGATGTCACCACCGGCGCTTAACGTCTTCAGTATCATGTTCTCCGCATCCCGGAGAGCTCCCTTATTGGCCGCCGCCTCCGTGGTGAGTGTGATTCGCAGTTCCTGCAAATCCGGACGCTCCTTGGCCACCACAATGCTGAGTAGTTGATCCATCAATGCGTTCTGGGTGAGGGCAAAGTTAATCACGGTCACCTTGTTGAAGGTTTCCGGCAGAAAGTGAGGATTACGCAGATTGCAGGTCATGTACAGTCGGAAATTCGGATTAACTGGCACCACTGCCTCACCCAAGCTGATGTGCTTAATGCCGCCTTGTACAAAAGTCTGCCGCATCAGGATGGGATCCAGAGGCACCTCCAGCTCCTCCTGCACGTTCTCAATGATCACCGGAGTGCCGTACTCCAAGGCCTCGGCAATCACCTTCATATAGTTGCTCTGATTGAACTTGACACAGTTCAGCCGGTTCTTGCGCTCCATGTTCTTTAGCCAATTGTTGGCCTGAGCCTGGGGATCAATGAACAAACTATAGCGACTTGAATTGGCCGAGATAATGGCATTCTCGCTGGAAAACTCATCGTTGGGCAGTCCATCCAGCTGCCAGTTCTGGATGGTGACCTCGAGGCCCAGCACCTCTGTTATGGAATAC